TTTTCAGAATTACTCAGCTGAACTTTTAGAGCTAGAATCAGCCACGCACGTGGCAAAATGGGCTTACCATAAGTTGTTTAAAACTTGCGTTGAGCCAGAAATCAGTCACTCAAAATGGGCCAGAGAATTGAATTTGCCTGTCAATATGCAGTGGACCAAAGTGTATGATGCTTTGTACAAAACAACGGATGACATAGCAGTACGCTGGTTGCAATTGAGGTTAATCCACCGTATTCTTCCAGCAAATAAGAGGCTGCAAATTTTTGGCATAGTGGATTCAAACGAATGTTACTATTGTCCTGTGGTCCCAGAAAGTCTTCTCCACGTTTTTTGGGAGTGCGAAGTAGCCCAAACGTTCTGGCGAGATATGAATCGTGTTTATAGTATAACGTTGTTGGACAGAGTTAGTGTTATTCTTAATAAGTTAGAGCATGGATCCCCCAGCATGTCTACAGAGTCAATACAACTTTTAATATTGATCGCAAAACAATATGTTTGGCGATGTCGGTCGAACAAAAATCGGCCAAGTGTTGAAGAAATGGCCAAGGTACTATTCCGTGTTTACAGAGTTGAAAAATACATAAGTGTAATTACAGACAGGAAGACTAGATGCGATGAACTTTGGGCGCCCATACTGCGCCCTCTGTCGCGATGGCGCGACTAGCCCATTGGGTTTACTCTTATCTGGATCCACCTGGTACAGTCTTCCCGGACTCGCGCCGCCCAGTGCCTGCGCCGGGGCGGCGCGGGCGGGAACTGACGCCCGGCGGCCTGTCGGGAGCGCCGGGGGGAGCCCTGATCCTCCCGGCTGGGGAGGACCCTCGGCTAGGCGGCTGAGGACCGCAGTCCTCCCCGGGACCGGGACGGTCTCCGCTGATTTCCAGCGCCGTCCCGGCTCGGCCGGGCAGGCCGCCCGGCGTACCGTTAGGGCAGACAGACTTCCTGGCCTCATTCGGACGGACTCGGACGGACGGCATCATGGTACACTCGGGGGCAGATTGATGTTCCACCATTCCCTACCCATCGGGCTCCCATGGATCAGCAGTGGCTGCTGCCAGTGTTGCCTGCCCTCAGCACTGCTCAGCACTGCCTGCCAATGCCAGTGCTGCCAGTCCTGCCACTGACAGCAGCCAGTGCGGGAGCCATGGGAGCCCGATGGGTAGGGAGTGGTGGAACATCAATCTGCCCCCGAGTGTACGAACCTCTCAAACTAATCTGGACGGACTTAAGGACTCATCTCTGAATGAATCACTTGTGCGGTAAACAGGGATAAATCGTTCTCAGGAACGCGGTGGCGTCGGGCGCGCGCGTTGCGGCGGTCGCTTGGCGATGGTGCCGGATGCCGGCGGTGTTTTGCGAATATCGTGAGGATGTTTCCGTTTTTTTTTTTTTTGTACGCCGCATGGGCCGGCACCTGTGCGCGGACGAAGCCAATACTGTGTCTGAATGAACGGTGCTGTTGAGTCGTGTTGAATAAACTATTTTAATGTGAAAAAAAGCTGATATCTCTGAATGCATCGAGTTTAGCAACATCAAATATATGCCTGCACTAAATAATGATGAACATCCCATGTTTTGTCCAATGAGGTTACCTATTGCTTTTGCTACCTCATTTGTTATTTTTTTTGTTATTTGTCTGAACTCTGATGTGATTCTTTTTTATCGTCATGAAAATGTCTAAGCAAAATGTTCGGTTAGCGATTCGGTGAACCGTGAGGTTAATAATTGGTTCAAATAATGATTTTTTTTTTAATTTTGTGACCTCTAGAGCTTTGACTCATTGAACTAAAAATCAAGCGAAATCTGGTTACGCCAATGTTTTGGTAAGTTACATATTTTTTGTTTCATTTTATTTTATTCTATTTTTTAGAAAGCTGTGGGACGAGTTTACCCTGACAGCTCTGCCAGCCTGCCAAATGCGGCTAACGGGCCGGGCTGGTCGATTCTCCAAACACAATCTCAAATGAACACTGCAATAAATCGCTGCGGGCTATTTTATTGTGCCGTTAAAAGAAGGCAGACCACTGTGACTGCCGCGCGGGGCTAGGTGAGGAATGGGGAAGCACACAGTAGAACAGATACGCCAGGGCGTATTTTAACCCTCGCCGGACCTATTGGTTTTCTACATACGCGCCGGCCGAGGGGGGGGGGGGCAGGTACGACCCCCCCCCCCTCGCCGTTTCGCCCCTGGTGGAGCTAGCGCGTCGCGGAAAAAAACGAGCGTGTGCGCCGTTACGAGACGCAGAGATTGGTACCCGATTTTAAGGTCCTAGGTTAACCGGTGACCTCTGAGGTCAGGTCAAGTGCCCCAAGGTACGGTTCAGTTTTTGGTGAATAACTTCGCAAAAAACGGCCGCAGAGCGCCGATGTTGGCAGAATCGTGTTCGTCTCGCTCAGGCGCGTCGAATGATATACTTTTTGTCCGGGTCAGGTCAACTTGGGGTGTTGACCTCAGGTCAAGGTCAGGTCAGCACCCCAGGTCACGAAGCTGGTCGAAAGAGGTCATGTCGCATATCATTCGATTCGGCAGGTCTTCCTGAGTCCATTGGTGGCTTTCCCGACTCGCTAGCTCAATTTGATCAAGAGTTATTGACGAAAAACTAATATGACCTTGATGACGTCATAAATGACGTCACGCAAGGTCAACATTGCAAAAGTGACGCATCTAACCTTGCAAGGAGTGCATCAAATCACGATTCTGTATGCTTGAGCTAGTTGGAGATCGTTCCCGGTGCCAGAATAGCAGTTTGAATTTTTCCCCATTGACTTATAATGGTGAGGTCACGAAAATGACCTGACCTTATATGACCTTTAGGAAAAATCCGAGATATACAAGTTGTGGGACTCATAATGGATACTAGATCCTGCAAGTTTCATTTCCCTGTGACATCTCCTCTGGCAGTGAGGGCGTTGCGAAGTTGCGACATCTGAAGACCGTGCAGAGGTTCACTTATGACGTCATAGGTCAGTGACCTGACCTGACCCAAAAATGCGGTTGGTGTCAAAAGATCCGGCTTGGATCAAAGGTCAGGTATGCCAAGTTTCAGCTCTCTATCGCCAGCGTGTTCGGAGCTATCGCGAAAAAACCCTATGGGGGGGGGCGGCACCCGCCCCCCCCTCGGCCGGCGAGGGTTAACATGTTAACTGGGTCGGCAATTGCCGACCCAGTCACGGAGAATGCCGACCCAGTTGCCGCCCCCTCTAGGATGCAGCACGCACATGCAGGCTAGGTGCCGTCATTCATAGTGAGGCTGCTGCCCTCCGAAATGATAATGCCGCCTCTTAACCCTCGCCCGCACATGGGGGGGGGGGGTGGTTGCCACCCCCCCCCCCAGGCAGTCTTTCTGCTCTGCACTCAACATTTTTAGCGCTAGAAGGCTGATTTTTCGTATAGCTGCTCGTCTATCCTTTCTTAATGTCCTCTGAAAATTTCAAGTTTCTGTGATTTTTGGTTTCGGAGATATGACCTTGTTTTTCAGGTCATGTCATGACCCAAATGGCCGATTCTCAACATCTTGCGTTTGCCATGGGCCTTGTGAGCTTTTGACACCCTGATTTCGGCCTTTTTTGCCAGTCTTACCTCCCACCTATCATGGAACATGTTGTTCGACGATGTACAGGGGTCAAGGTCAGGGTCAAGGTCAACCTAGGTCATCTAAGATAATTACGTTTTAGGCAAGCTGAATTTACTTTTTGTGAAGTTTTTTGACTGCATTTTTGGTAAAAGCTTCTCAGATCATGATTTCATGTGATATGGACCCAAAAACAATCGGTGCACACATCAGTATACACACAGATACACACAGACATACAAACACATATAATTGACCTTGACCTAACTTGACCTGAAATGACCTCAGCAGCAAAATTCTGGTCGGATAGTGTGACAAAGAGGTTCTAGCTGGCTTGGCACCAGAAAACAGCATCGTCATCGGTATTTGATAAGCAGCGCACTTGATATCCAACGGTGACCCAAAACAGCAACATTTTTTAGTTTGACCTGACCTGGAAGGTCAATGACTGACCTGAGAAGGTAAAACTGGGTATCATTGGATTCGTCTCTTCCCAAAGAATCTTTTTGGTCTTTACTGCTAAGCTCTATCTCCAACAGGAACGAAATGGCGCGGGGGGGGGTGGCAACCACCCCCCCATGTGCGTTCTAGGATGGGAAAATGGCATGTGCGGGCGAGGGTTAAAGTGAAGCAGAGATACACGCATCCTAGCTTCCGCTGTTCATCCCAGCATGTGCTCACAGCGAGCTCCGTGGGCCGTCACGCAGGCCTGCAGTCGCTTGGGAACGGCTCCGACTGCGCAGGCCAGCGGTCTCTGGGACAACTGGTCCCAGCAGGCCGTCAGCCTTTCCTTTCCTTACAATAGCACGTGAATGAGCTATTTTTTCATGAACTATTTTTTTGTGAACTATTTTTTTTGTGAACTATTTTTTTGTGAACTACTATTTTGTGAACCTCTAACATGCGACATGGTCAGAACAGCAAACCGTCTATCACTGATTTGCGCATAATGTTCAAATCCGTTTCACTGAGTTTCGTGACACAAATTTTGTAGGCATAAGTCTAGGGTAATATTTATAGTAATAGTTAAGTCCAATCAATCTGGTTTATAGAAAATTGAACGCTCTTTCTAATGGTGTTTGCAATTTGTCATTTAAGTGAAAACTTTCGGACTCACAGAAATTTTAAGTTAGGGGTTCCAATTTTTTTTGGATCACCCTGTATGTATAGCAATGACCGATAGGCTTTTACTGATACTGATAATTAATTCGAATAATTGCGGACGGAGGCTATGGACGCTCTGTTTTAGTTCATTTTTAGCAAAATAACTACGATAACAGTAATTGCATTCATTTCATAAATGAAAGCCAAGATATTGGAGTTCAGGATGAGTCGGAGCCCCGCAATGTGTCCACCTTTTCAGCTATGCCTTACGATAACTCTGCCCTAGTCACTCTTACTCAGTGTTCACCTGCCGTTGTGCCCCAGAACCTGTTGTTCTACTACGAGAGCGAGTCGAGCAGTCGGCCCTCCGGCGTCATCCTCCTCGAGGGCTGCTACTGCGAGAGGCTGATAGCGGCCACCGCCAAACCCAAGGAAACCGAACCCAAGGTAAGTGCTGAATCTAACGATTACAACGCTTTTGAACGGATACCATCGTATAACCGTTACATCAGTTACATCAGTAACAGTGACAGAATTACAATATTATTCCTGTTATTTATCGTATGTAAGCGAGACGGTTTGACGGCACAGGCTGGTGTTTTCAGTACTGTTTCTCCATCACCTATCGCCGGGAGAACCAGCGGCAGTATGACCTGAGGGCCAACTCTGAGATGGACTGCAAGTCCTGGATGGACGCCATACGACAGGCCAGGCGAGTCTCTAAAGTCTAATCCAATGATCCGGGATTGCCTTCATCCGGGTCGGCGTGCGTGCGTGCAGTGGGAAGGTGACCTGACTCGAGCGATAGTAGCCGTTTTCGCGACGACGGGCTATCCGGCGAGTGCACCTAATTTGGCCAAATCTGCATCTAATCTCTTTTACAGCAAATATCTTTATTTTATGAATTTATTTCAATGTTTTAATCGATGATACTCTCTGATAATATGACAAAGCAGGCATATAAGCAATTAGTGCAACCCTAGCTGATAGCTACTAAGAGACACACTGAACCTAATTTGACCAAATCTGCACCTAATCTGCACCAGATGTGAGCCAAATGTGTACCACATGGCCGTCGTGAAAACGGCTAGTATATAACAGCCAAGAGGTGCTTCGACATAAGCAAACTGCTCTTGCACCAATTGGTGATCATCGTTTTGTATACGTGTCCTGATTAAAGGTAGTGTGCCACCTTTGAAAGATTTCCCATTTTATTTTTCCTAGGATAAGAAGCTTCTGTTTTTACCTAATATCGCAAAAAAAAATCAAAAATGGGCCTGGAATAGTGCCTTTTTCGCCTAAAAGTTTATCGGTTTTTCTATATGTATAACAACTGTAGTGGGCTCACCTGCAAACAGGCGTCGGGCAACAATCGCGAATGCGGCGCACTTGTGACAATAAGCAAAGGTCATTATAGTGTTACGACCATACGACGTACGGGAATGAGTTATCAGCTGTCTAATCGTAGACAACACAATGTCGAGCCTTAAACTGTAAGCCCGTATTGGTATTGTTTCTTTTATTTGGCTGTCGAACATTATTTATGGTTTGAAATATGATTTTATGTAAAATAATTGATATGAAAAAGCCGTCTTATAAGTTATGACCCCATTTCACCACACGCAAGTGGCAGATACACGGACGTATAAATAAACTGGACCCGCAACCACCTCCATTCAGGTGAAGCCGACAAGGCGCCATTTTACGTTGCCAAAAAACCGTGCTCTGGAAGGTCATCGAGCCAATACAATTAGAATTGCGTCCAAACGGATGCTCGGATCGAGATGCTGGTGGTACCGTTCGACGGGTAATTCCTTGAGGCAGGTGATGATGAATGTCACATGTCACCCGGTGTCACATCGCGCGTGCCACGTACCGACAAACTTACAAAGGGCAAAAACCTTTAAGCGACGCTTCAAATCAAACGAAGGGCGGCACAGGTGCCAAACTCACAGGTCACATGTCCCAGTGTTCGACCACTAACATATGGTATGTTCGGCATCAGGGGGTGCGGAATGCAGGCGCTAGTGGCGAAAAACATGTTTTGAGGAGGCATCCTCCGATTCCGGAAAACCTTGACCTAGGCACACCAAATTTGGCACACTGACACTACTGGACACGCGCTTTAAGGTGCTGTACAAATAGGCGTGCTGGGGTACACGGTGCACGTGCTGTGCACGTGCAAACCTTTTGATGTTGCACTCCAGGTGTCACATATGCGGGTAGGGCGGGTAGCGCTGGCAAGCTCAAAGTGCCAAATTTACACAGGCCACCCAGAATGCATTCCAGCATAGTTATTGAGCATATCCATCTCCTGGTGGCCTCTGCACGTGCAAAAAAAATTATCCACGCTGGGCGGTGGGGATGCTTGGACACCCTATGTGGATTTATGTAAATATCTCGAAAACGGCGTTGTGTAGCGCCGCCATTTTTGGCACACCTTTTCATACATCTTTTTCACACATGCTGCGTAACTTTCAGACTTAGGTCACTCAAGGTTAGGTCATCAGGTTACGTCCAAGTGACCTTACCTTAGGAAAAGTTATAGTGCCCGTCATAGCTACACAGACTGAACAATCGGTTTAAAAGTGCAGCGATTGATAAGAGCAACAGTATATACGTAGAGTACTTCTACCTCGGAATTTCAATCAGTGGCGGCGGAACACCTTCAATTAAAGGGGGCACTGCCGACTTTTGGTCCCATTCTTTCCATGCAACGCCCATAGGGCGTTGCATGGAAAGGGCTATGTTAAAATGCCAAAATTAAAGGGGGCACGGTGCCCCGGTGCCCCCCTCGTTCCGCCGCCTATGATTTCAATATCACTTGCTTGCTCAATGCTCATTGCTCATCTCGTATTGTAAGAGCACTGCGGCACAGCATAGATGCAGGCGCTTTGCTACTGCCATCTATGGGTGAAAGATGAAGAAAATGGTTATTGCGGTGCAGTATTACTGCAGGCGCAAACAACGTAGATAAAAAGATGCCTATGCTGCGCTGGCCGGCGATTGAGGCGTTAATTTGCGTTGCTGGGTAGCAAAAAGTTTAGGAGCCCGAATTTGACAAAATAAATGATTTGCCGTGCTGGTGGTCTGAGGTCCCAAAATCAACAAAACCCTAGGTCAGTGATATTGAAATTTCGAGGTAGAGGTAGGTACTCTACGTATATACTGTTGAGTGTTGATCTTATCTATTGCTGCACGTTTTAAGCCGATTGTATTAGTCTGTGTAGCTATGACGGGCATTATAATTTTTCCTAAGGTAAGGCCACTTGGACGTAACCTGGTGACCTAACCTTGAGCGACCTAAGTCTGAAAGTTATGCAGCATTTGTGAAAAAGATGTATGAAAAGGTGTGCCAAAAACGGCGGCGCTACACAACGCCGTTTTCGAGATATTTACATAAATCCACATAGGGTGTCCACTGTCCAATCATCCCCACCGCCCGGCGCGGATAATTTTTTTTTGCACGTGCAGAGCGCACCTTTGGGGGCCACCAGGAGATGGATATGCTCAAAACTATGCTGGAATACATTCTGGGTGACCTGTGTAAATTTGGCACTTTGAGCTTGCCAGCGCTACCCGCCCTACCCGCATATGTGACACCTGGAGTGCAACATCAAAAGGTTTGCACGTGCACAGCACGTGCACCGTGCACCCCAGCACGCCTATTTGTACAGCACCTTAAAGCGCGTGTCCAGTAGTGTCAGTGTGCCAAATTTGGTGTGCCTAGGTCAAGGTTTTCCGGAATCGGAGGATGCCTCCTCAAAACATGTTTTTCGCCACTAGCGCGTGCATTCCGCACCCCCTGATGCCGAACATACCATATGTTAGTGGTCGAACACTAGGACATGTGACCTGTGAGTTTGGCACCTGTGCCGCCCTTCGTTTGATTTGAAGCGTCGCTTAAAGGTTTTTGCCCTTTGTAAGTTTGTCGGCACGTGGCACGCGCGATGTGACACCGGGTGACATGTGACATCCATCATCACCTGCCTCAAGGAATTACCCGTCGAACGGTACCACCAGCATCTCGATCCGATCATCCGTTTGGACGCAATTCTAATCGTATTGGCTCGATGACCTTCCAGAGCACGGTTTTTTGGCAACGTAAAATGGCGCCTTGTCGGCTTCACTATCTTCCATAGGAGGTCCATTGGGATTGTCAGTCCAGTTTATTTATACGTCCGTGGGCAGAAATGACAATGATCAGCTGACGCATTTTTCTTGGCCGAAGTCATAGCGCGCAGCCCGACGCACCACCACCGCACCACAAAGTATGAGCAGAAGCCGCGCCCAAAGCCAGGGCCCCGGTAACGTGAGGTAGCCGAGTCGGGGCAGCGTGCGCTGACCCAAGCCGGGGCCGCAGCTTTGGGCGCGGTCTACCGCATCCCCGCGGGCAGCCCCGGGCTATCACATGACACCGGGAGGACGCGCGGCTCCGGCTTGGGTCCGCGCACGCTGCCCTGACTCGGCTACCTCACGTTACCGGGGCCCTGGCTTTGGGCGTGGTCTACCGCACCACCTAACAAGCGTGTTCGAAACCGCAGGAGCTGATGATGAACGGGTTTATCGAAACTTGATTGGATGAGCATATCGGTAATAGCGATTTCAGTGTGTGCATTTATTGTTCATAGTGGTGTGAAATGTGGTTGGGGTACGACCGACAACCCGTCGGGGCGAATTTCGCACTGGGGTACTCAAAATTTGAAGAATTTAAGACGTTTCCATGAGTTTTGAAGGTATGGATAAGTTCTAAAAATCCGGTTCTCCTTATCTGGGCCATTAACTCCATACGGTCCAAGAAAGCTGGCACACTACCTTTAATGAAATAAATTTATTCTATTTATTCTGCTCTAAAGGGCGGAGGAACTACACAGTGAAGCAAATGAGCTTTCCAAAATCTACCTTGTCACGTCTGATTTTTGGTGTCGAGTTCAGTGAGACGAATGATAAAGTCAGGGTCAGTTTTTAACTTTCTGGTTTTAATAAAATCATTAAGTGTAAGCCAACCAAAAAAAAAAAAAAACAGCTACGCAAAAGCCGAGACAACTTTTGGTGGGCTCGGTTACCCTTTATGGCTTTGAGTAGCGTTGTCGACGCGAAATATATTTCCAACTTTTTTAGCTGAGCCTACTTTCAACTATTGACTTCTGAGTTCTGATCATCTATCATTTACCAAGTTATTGGAAACCTCAGCGCACATCACCGAATTTCATTGATCATATAAAGGATTGATGACCAATGAAGTCCTTTGAAGAGGAAGGTATCACCACTGACAAATTAGAAGCTAGAGCCGAGAGCCAAAAAGGAGAGTTCTAGGAGTTTGTTTCCAAATTGAGGCTTTGCAACTATGTGGATGCAACATCCTTGTGCTGTGATTTCCTTGTGCTGTGATCCTTGATGATTGCTCCCTTGATTTGCATGCGTATATTTATTAGTTCGTCATTGATAGCGTCGTGATATATAAATAAAATCATTTAGAAAACTCATCGAATTTGAAAAGAAAACATGAAAAATCCCCTGACAATGATATCATGCTGCTGACTGTTTCTGGTGCTGCTAAATCCTTTGGTGATAATCTAGTTCAACCCTTGAATAAAAACATGTAAAGTTTTCCATTAAATATGCCCGGCAGCCCAAAACTTTCCGCTGATGAGCATAGCTGGGAAGCACAAACACCTTTACATTTGCATGGGTTGTACCGCGCAGGGTTCACCTGCATATTGCCGACCTCCCGCAGCGCAATTCGTGCGCCAACAACTCCCAATCTAGCGCTATCGGCAAGTTGCAGCCGTGCCGCCGGGCCTCTGTATTCTCTCTCGCAGGCCGTAAACAGCGTGCTCGTTGCAGCAAGTTCGCTGCCGGCGCCCCGGCGGCGGTGTTTTCGCATATAGCTGCTCTCCATGTTGTGCGCGAGTGCCGCACACTCCGGTGTCAAAAGCTCTGCATATGGGCCGGATGACAAACAGGGTAGCGTATTTGGGGCTGTTCTGTGAACGACTGCTGAAAACGGATGTGTGGGACTTTATTGAGATACAAAAAGTCAAGTGCATAACAGAGTGATAAGCATTTGTCTCGAATATGCATGGAGGGAATTTATTTCTCCTTCCCAGCAGGCGGGGAGGGCCGGGGGCAGAAGGGCTATTCGGATTCCTTGTTGTATGCTGTAAATGCAATGAACAGTAAGATCATAAGATGCAACCAAGTATGACATTGCAAACTCATTTTGGCCTGCAAATAGATAACCAAGATTTGTTTGTTTATTTTTTATGCTTACGAACCTCCACAAGTCCCTGCATAGATAATCAAGGGGAATGAGAACATTTATACGGCTCATTCTGCAAACAAATATCTATCTAGAACTTTCTGTCGGTGTCTTTCCTTTCCTTTTCTTCACTTAACTCAGTTGGTGTAGTGAGCACAGACTCTCGTGTGCGCACGGTACCTATAAATAGGGATCACATAGTTCATCTATTCGTGTTTTTGTCGGTTGCAGCTTCAACAAGCTGATGTTGGCAAAGGAGGAGCTGGAACACAAACACTTGCACCTTCTGCAGATCGTGGAAAGCGAGAAGACAGCCAAGTGGCAGTACACACAACAGTGCGAAGAGCTCACCACAGAGATAAAGAAACTTCGGAACGAGGTCAGTTGTCGCGCACTTTCTTGTGTGTCACGTTTTCTAACAGGAATCCTTCATCCATTTATCAACGTACGCATTACGCAAACTCTTAGAATATTTGAGAACGCGACCGAGAGCTTATAGGGACAATTGACCTTTTTTTTGCTTCAGCTGTGCACCCTGAAGAAGGACTGGAGATTTTTACCGAATCAACAGTCAGAAGAAGGTGAAGATTCCGATGAGATACGAAAAATAAAGAAGGTGCAGAGTTTCTTTCGTGGCTGGCTCTGTCGAAGGCGGTGGAAACAGATCGTTGAAGAGTACATCAAATCTCCACACGCAGAAAGCATGCGCAAACGAAACAGGTAAGCTAAGAAGCTTTTGTTTCCCCAATCTAAGTTAGGTGAGTAAAACAAAAATGAGAAAGAAGTGGTTTATTGCTTTTGGCAGTACACTAAAGAACTAGCCGGTGGCATAACTATAAAATATTTTGCCGTCGCTGTTAGCATGCATACTTGGCGTGGAGAAAGAGTCGTCTTTCACCTAAATCGCAGGCGTTTACTATGTAGAACAAGTTTTGTCTAAAAAAGAGATTTGCCTCTGTGCGCCATTTCAGCGGTTGCATACAAAACGTGCAGTGTAATATCATTTTCGCAGCCTCGTGTTTCGGATGGTAGAAGCCGAAGAAGAGTATGTGGAGCAGCTAAACATCCTGGTGACTGGCTTCCTGAGACCTTTCAAAATGGCGGCCTCCTCTAAAATGCCGCCCTGCAGCCACGAGGATGTGAATACGATCTTCCTAAACTCCGAGACCCTGCTGTTTCTGCACCAAATCTTCCTCAAGGGCTTGTCGGCGAGAATGGAAAGTTGGCCGACGCTGGTGCTTGGTAAGTACGAGAATGTCACGTTCCAACCTTGTCCAGCTCACCTCTCAGCTCGGTGCGGTTAAACCCTTTAAAAATTTACAACTTCTTAAACACTGCGCATGAGCATGAAAAACCTAAAAGGCACTCCCACATGCAACGGGATTTAAAGAAACATGTGCATATTTTATGATGATTATACCCATCTTGAGCATTTTCATTTAAATTTGGTTGTTGGTAGGCAGAAGGCAAATTTACATTTGTCGTTGCCAATGCCATCCTTCGTGTTGTCAAATATTGTACCTCAATGTCGGGTCGTCTTGTGTACATGCTGTGACCTGACATGTTTATCAATTCACCACATATATCTCATCCTCGCTTTTTAATAAGTCTACGGGTCCGCTAAAGCTTGGGTCGAAGCTTTTGTCAGCATTTGCTTCGCTAGCGGCTCGCACCCCGCCAGCCAGCCAGCCAGCCACCAGTACAGCGGTCTGTTCTGGCCGCTGGTCGCCTCACGTGCACCCGGTGCCTGTGTTTGCAGATCACCACAGGCCTGTGTGTGCGCCACTGGGTAGGTCGCGCGCCGCTCGGTCGCTGGCTGTTACCCCCCTGTCCGTCGCTGCAGAGCCCAAACTTGTGGTTGTGCTTTGCAGACGCCCGCAGGGCTTAGCAGAGCTTCTGTGCCATTCGTTTAGAGCGCAATCGCTTGAGTCGAGCTCTGTCGCAAGTGGATGGCTTTGAGTAATTTGCTTCCCATACGTGTTCCAGCGTTTGTCAGCATTTGTATTTTCTGCCTGCCTGCCTTCCTGTCAGCGATGTTGTAAGCCACCCGTGTTGGTAGTTAATCAAACAGTTTCTAATTTTAAGAATGTTGAACAAAACTTTTCTGTACCGGATGCGACTGATTTGTCAAGTTAACCCTACCTTCTAACTGCTTAAAAGTGCGTAATTAGCTGCATGTTTCCGTAGTAATTAATATTCGTTACGCATTTTAGTTTGTCTAATTCTAATTTTGTCTTGCGAGCATGCTGGTGGATTTCGTTAGCTACCCAGCAGGCGGCACATAACGTCAAACAGGAAGCTGCGCCTTCGCGAAAAGCTAAAACGTCAATGCAGCAGCTGATAGCAGCCTGAAATAACAATTATGCTCAATTGATTTGAAATTGATCATGCTCATTTAAATAGGTATCTCACATCGATAGCCCACAGGCTACAGTTTAATTCTGGGATGATAAATCGGAACAATTTAGCATCGAGTGCGTCCTTACTCCTTGCATTAATTCGACTTATCTGTTAGCCAGCCAATGGTAAAACTGCTGCTGTCAGAGACGGCCAGTCATTTGCGCACGCCTCATCGTGAGTCTGTGCCAATGTTCATGGACGTTCGATCTGCTTCTTTTGAGCCCAATGGCGCATTGGTTAATTGTGGCGTCAGAATCCCCGCTACCACTCCAACTTACGTGAGATGCACGGAGGACACTTGGAGCCATTCGACCGTTATCACTGCATCGTCGGATGGCTTTCGTCAGCTCCCAGTACGCTACGCTCAGCTGAGCGTTGAATTACAGCCAGTAAATTGATAACAAATAGAAAAGAAGTAGCCGCCCGAGTCGTGTCCGATAGCCGCTTCGGTTCGTCTCTCACGTCATCACATTTAATGATGAATCACCTTACCATAGAAACACACTGCCATGTTTTATCAAACATCATATATCTTCATCCCTTCCATCTGTCAATAAGACCCAGTATGTTATGTGCAGGCTCCATCACAACCAATATTCATCACCAGACAACATCGCGACCACCCGTATTTGCAGCAGCGCGGGTATGAGCCCGGCGAAGCAGACGTGAGTCGGACAGAGACGAGCTGCCGGTAGCGACGGCGGGTTTGCGGGTTTGAGTTCGATACTACTGAAGTCGGAAGGTCGTCGGTACCTGAGACGACATTAATACAGAACTCGGCGTCGGCGTCGACGCTCGGGGCCAAAGGTCAAACGACGATCAATAGTGAGCAGTGCGACTGCCGCCGCGTGACACCACTGATAGTTCCATCAAATGCATTGGGATGAGCGGTGCGCCTCTTCAGCTATTCATGCCACACGTCTCGAATGACTTCACTGAAAAGGTTTGGTCAAAGTGTTACCGGGAATGTACCCAAGCACCGACAGGCAGCAGGCTCGGAAGTGTCTGTGGGAGACAATTAATTACTTTAGATGCGAGCTAGATGTGCCTACAGAAACAGCTACGTTTCGAGAAATCGCAGTCCAAGGTAATGATCAGTCTGTGATAAAGAGACCGTCCGATAACGCTGTAACTGTTTAACAGCATGGAAGTGACGATGTGCGCACCTTGGGCTGTCAACTCTGCACGATCCATTCGATTAATGGCTTCCATATTCACTCAGAAGGAAAAATGAAAAGGCCTTGAATAATAAAGTAGCTTTGGAACCTGGAACGACCTTTGCGCCACCGCATGGTTCCAGTTTCTGTTCTATGCTCTTCGGACTAGACTTCCGAATCTTATTCGAATCCTGATCCTCCCGCTGCGCTAGGTTGTTCTCCAATTTGTTAAGAGTCTCAATACTTTCTGTTCTCTGTCGTGATTGGTGTTGGGCCGATACCGTAAGGCTGGCTTCGGCGCCGTCCAGGGCTGGAGATTGGATTCGCGGGCCGCAGGCGCTGGCCGAAAGATGAAATGGCTGATCCCCAGACACTCCGGCTGTCTAAATGTGTGGCTCATTTGATGAAGCACAGCATTAGGTGCTAATCCACACGGGCAAAAAGACTGGGAAGGGTGAGTGGGATGGCACAGATTTAACGATCATTTACAGGCAGTGGCACCTATCGTCGAAACTCTAGAGTCGTAGAACATGGATTGTTATTTACAATGCAAGCATTGCGCCCAATCCGCCAACCATCATTTAAGACTTATCTTTCACGTCTGTTTGACATGTTGTGGATTATTAGGCAATGACATAGGGCGACGTGCGCCTTATTCGGTTGCAAAGCTGTCCAAGAGCATACGATCAGAATAAAGAATTCTAGTCATGGTTTGCTTGGTTTCCTAACCAATAAGCGTTATCTCTTTGGTTTCGAAGAAATCAAATATGCTTAGTAGTTTCTCCGTAACACCCCGATCCCATTGCAATATTCTTCACAAATTGCTTGTCCGTCTGAACTCCAAATTTTTAACATCATAGTTGCGGTTTATCAAAACGCTCAATAAGATATTTAAGATATTTGTTATTTAAGTAATTTGGTTTTCAATAAGGTATTTTCTACATTAAATTCCATTACCCCATGCACACTATGCGTGTGACCATGCAATGGCGCCGGATCTGTCGGTTGACCTCCGGTCTCCGGTCGCTGAATGAACGGCACTCGTCTGGTGACGGGTCGGCCGGCGTCCGTGATCAGCCGCCCCGGGAGAGGCTCTTCCTGGCCGTCTCGAGGGTCCTCCAGTCGACACCGGCGACCAGCTAATCAGGCTAGGCCGTCCGGCCACCTCCCAAGCGCTCCCCGCCTACTCCGAGCTGCTCCCGCGGTGGCCAGGTCAGAAGTAGCACACCACCACGGCCACAACGGGAGACGGACATGGAAACGGAGCTATACACGGCCCACTGTAAGAACGGTGGCGAAGGAGGGGAGGGATAGAAAGAAAAGAGGACGCTATGTGAGAATCTCTTCCGACTGGTGTTGGCGGAAATTCAGAATGTAATATTCTATCTTGGACAGATCACTGAAAGTGCAGACTCTGTGCTGTGTTTTCGTTTGCTTTGAAGGAAGACTGCCACCTTCAAAAAATTTTCTCAGATCGGCCTATGATTTATTCCCTGGACAAAACAAAATTTTAGAATTCACCTGACAAAGTATCATCACGTGAATCGCGAAAAAAATTGTCGATTATCATACAATTATCAATCGGTTAATGTCTAGCGACAATGTTTACACATCACTAGACTTCAAGGTCATAAGATTATTACATTTTATTTGAAAAAGTAAGGTATTTCATGATTTACTAATATATGACTTCATAAGAAATTGGCCATGTTTAATTTATTTTGCATTTAAGTTCGTAAAACATTTAAAAATCATGGCTCATTTGGAATGGGGTCTGGCCCATGTTAAACCCCATTTCCCACACTTTTTGGGAAAAAATGAACTACTGAATATATAAGTTTAACTTTTATTTTGACACTCCAAAATTCTTCTCTGATCTCGAAACAATCAAAGTTTTGACATATATTTACCAAAAGATAAGAAAATTCATGTTTCAAAGTTATCGATAAACAGTAGAGATGTCGGTTTTCTTGGACTAAAAAAATGGCATCAAACTGAACTTTGGTCTCCGATTTCTCGCAAACGGGTTCGAATTTCGGAAAACCGACTTCAGTCTGGGACATAGGTGGCTCAGCTCTAGTGAAAACCGTTTTGTGGAAAAAAGGTGGCAGTCTACCTTTGACGAAACAAAGCAAGTAATTTAGCAACTATGGTCACTGTGTCATCCTAGACTTTTGCATTTCCTCCCCATGCCCACTGCCCAGCCCCACCTGTAGCTCCCAATTCCCATCCCCACACCTCCCTCGCTCCCCTCTGCACCCTATTACGTCGCAGCTGCCTGGCCGTTCCCACTCGAAGCGGCACATCTCCGTAGTCGATTGCGTCGCGACCCTGCCGCCTCATCGGCTGCGAGCGGCGACTTGGCTCGTCAGTCGACTCAGAGCGCGCCCCTCTCGCCTGAAAGAGGCGCACGCTCAATAACGAGCCAACTTTCTGTGACGAGCTCCGCCCCCGTACCGTTGTCCGGTCGACCCTCGTGTCAGTCGGCTGCGTCGGGGACAGGAGACGGCTGAACGGACTCGTCTGGCGTGGGACACGACGGGCGGAAGGAGCTTGGGATCGTTTTGTAATGCCTTGTAGAGGAGTTTGCCTGATTGGGTAGATAGGCTCGGGACTGGGAGTCGGGGACCTTTTGCACAGCTTGGAAAGGAAAATATCATAGCGATTTCACCTTCAGCTCAACTGAGGTAGAATAAATAGGGGACCTTTTAGCACATTGCAGATCGGCGACCATAAATCATGCTCCCGATGCTGAGTTTTTTATTTGTCTTTCAAACAGGTATAAGGCGGACAGATTATATGCCTCCTACTGTTCGTAATGAATTCAAACAGCTTATGTTCAAAAACATACACTCAATGCTGGAACGTATGCCGTAACTTTGGTTTGAACTTCGAAGGAGCTTTTCATTGGCACCACCTTTGACGACTACTTGTCTTTTTATATAATCAGTATAAATCCACTCTATAACCAGTATCTGGACTCTGCTACTGGCGCAGACCCGGGTCGCAGACCCGCATTAGCCGCTTCGTCTCCAGCCATCCATTGAGCGAGCCCGCATCCTCTGCGTGTGTACGCTTCACTTGGCTCGCTGGATCTATCCCTGTGCTCTCTACCGGCCTCTACTGCTCATGCTGTATCCGGCCTCTTCCCACAGTCCCCTACAGACCGGCTATCTGGTCCCACCAGCCGACTCTTCCCCCTACTCTGAACCGGTTCTGTACTGCTCCTGTTTGCTAGTGCTCACGGTAGTCAGCCCTACCGAGCAGCAGTAGTAACCGAAGGTTTGTTGTCAATAGTTAAAACACTATTCTTTAGAATTGTGTTTTTCTATTGAAAAACAAATCTGAGTTCCCTGACAATTTGGCAAAAGCTGCCTGAGATCATATGGTAGAGCCACACAGAACTGTTGCCAGAAAAGACGGCTTGACCTTACGCTTGGTGCCCTGGCCATCTTCAGAGGACCGGGCGATGACGATGTAGGGCCAACTTGGTAGACGTCGGTACATGTGTTATACTTTGATGTGCTACTACTGACTTCACTGCGTTTTGCTGCTTCTGCTTGTTTGTGTGTGTCAGCGTGAAATGGCATTTGCTAACTGTATAAACAAGACTGACTGCTGGAGGTACGCATGTGTATCGTGATTTGTGATCGCACGATTAGCTTGCTCGGATGTTTGTAAGAGCATGCGTCAATAAATATGATTACCTATACGCTACGATGTGCAATACAACGTTTTGCTGTCGCTGGCAGTCCGAGGGGACATGATATGTAACTCTTATGGCAGTGCATGTTGTCAGTACATGTTGTCAGTACTCTTATGGCAGTGCATGTTGTCAGTGCATGTTGTCAGCACTCTTATGGCAGTGCATGTTGTCAGTACACCCCATTTATTTTGGCGGTGTCCACTCCACAGCTCTTTCAGCCCTGGATGGATCCGGCAGGGCTGGTCGTCATGAGCGGTGGAGCGGTGGAAACTGAATACCTGATTTATAAACTGAAATCAACCCGCATTCATATTGCATGCATCAATATATCGCTGATCTGCCCTTCTTGGAGTCATTTCATGAAAACTTCATATCATTATTTGAGTGTCTCCGCTTAAACGTATTGCAAAAAGGGACGCTGGTATATGTGAGTCAGAACGATTTATGCGCTTCATTTATCATGCAAGCGTGCCCGCCTGCAGCTTAGCGGTAAGCGGAAGCACGGAATCTATAGCGAAGTTCGAGTGAATTAAACCTCGCTGGTGAAATGGAGCAGCGAGAATGCAAAGAGGATTAATCTGGCACAGTGGATCAACTTGTGGCAGAGCTGAATAAACTGAAGAAAATAACCACAGCCACTAAGCCATAATCAGCACTAATTAATCCTTTCTTGCAGTTAAGGCTGAACGGTTGGCTGCTTTTAACTCTTATTGTGAAAAAATAATTAGGTTTTACCAGGCCTCATTCATATGATTTGTTTGCATCTCAGATTGTACAGTGCGGGGGGCTGCTCAGTGCACGGCACCTGTAGAACAGCTATGCACAATAGGGTAGGGTGGGGTAATTTGAACATGTGGGGCAATTTGAACATAGTGTGAATAACAGAAAATTGCGGAAAATCCATAAGTGGCATGACAATAAGACCATGAGAGAAATTATCGTAACTAAAAGGGCTATCATATGAACGGGGTTTAAAGTTTCAGGGAATGAAGATGTTGACGCACAGTGTAAAAAATCAATTTCGCAAGGAAAAACGCCTAACAACACGTCATTGCAACTTCATTGCAGCGCAAAATCTTGCATTGCTAGCGCCTAATACGCAACGGCTTTTGTTGTATAATGACCTAATCAGTGCCGTAAATCCAAGAAATTTGCTTTTGAACCCTGTTTTTTAAAATGGCAAAATAACTTTTAGCGTGGGGTAATTTGAACATAGTGTGAGAATTTCAATGAAGACAGGGATAGCTCCGAAACAACAACGCTCCCAGTTTTTTTTTTGCCAATATTTTCGACCCAAGGCAGTAGCAGATAAGTGATGCCAGTTTTAGAAAATTTACGTCTAATATCCGTCTAATGTCCGGCATTTTTGTTGATTTCCCGTCCAAAAATGTTTAAGTCAACTATTTGTTCAAATATGTCCAAAAATTATGCAGCTATCAACACTCAAAACCGTCATTTATATCGCTTATCATGTAATTTTATCAGCCGAAAAGTGTTCATTATATTGAGAGCTTAACAAGCTTTCCATTCGCCAATCAACGCTATGTACGATTACTTTATAAAAAGCGCTGAAGTGTAGCAAGCCATCGTCCAATGTTGTCCAGTCTGCTACCTTTGTCCAACCAATTCCGAATTGGACATTGGACAAAATCAGAACTCCAAATGTCCAGGTTTCGATTGGCACCACAGATGTAGTACGGTTGGGAGAGTTTTTATCGAACAAAATGAAAGACGTTCTGTTAATTGAAGAGGGGCGAATTCTGTCAACTGACCGGTGTGCAGCGTGCAGATATTGATACTCTGCAACTGTTATTTTTGCTGTTGTGTTGATTTTTCAAGTGAAGGTATGTTTAGAATTGTTCTGCCTATTTGTTTATGGGTCAAACAACATCGGTGCTGGCGAGACTATCGTTTTATGACAGGTAAAGGCAGTATGTTCAAATTACCCCACGGTGGGGCAATTTGAACACACCGTGACTTGGTGGAGAAGTGAGGCTATGCTATTCAAGGTATGCTCGGCTCGTCCAAAAATGAGGCTTGCATGGTGAAAGCAAGTGGCACTTGCGCTACTGAAGCAGTTTTTCTTCATCCAGGGTTGAACAGGAATTTGGTACAACGGAGAAGACGTAAAAATATGTTCAAATTATCCCACACTACCCTAGTCTCTAATACATTATGCTGATGCTGCATCAAAACGCAGTTAGAATCAATCAGTTTTAGTTACCATTTGCAAAGGGTATAGACTAAATTTTGAAACATTTAGCAAGTAAACATTAGGTCGGACGCTGTATAATCAGCTCTGTACAATACATATCGTCAACCGTTTTCCGTTCAGTGTCGTTTGTATTTTTAGTTTTACCAATGCGCTTTGGATGCTGAAAGCTGATTGGTGATGTTCAGTCCCATCGCGGAACATCTGTGACTGATCGGGATACGTGTCCATTACAGGTGATCTGTTCGACATGTTGTTACCTATGCTCAGCATCTACCAAGAATACGTTCGAAATCACTATTGCAGTCTCAAGGTAAGCTCATTTCAATGGAACATATCATTTACTTGAAGAACAATTACGACTGGCATTCGTGTCATTTAGTTTATCCAGATCTTCAAAGATCAGGGTTCAAGCCTGATTTTAGATGTTTTCTATGTCTGTTTGGACTGTATGGAACTTCCAACGGGGCAAGGGAAATGAGAACGATGGTCAGCTGTGATACCAGTCAACCATAAATCGTCAATACATGAATAACAATGACCAATAATTTATGATCCATTCCATTTTGAAGCTCTTCTTACTTGTTATTAATTATAAATATATTTAGCAAATGTATTTAATATATTTAGGTACCTAACCTGTGAGGGGCACATGGCTTCGTCGAACCCACCGCTTCACTTTAGCCAGTGCAGCAGTCGACCTTAGGCTGACCTTTGACCTCACGACCACCAGGTGCTCTCCGAATGCAAGCAGAACCAGCAGTTTTCGACGTTTCTGGGCCGACTGGAGGCCAAGTCCACCTGTCAGGGCCGCACGCTGGAGACCTTCCTCACCTACCCCATGCACCAGGTATGGTAACCATTGTATGCTGGAGAATGGAGATCCTGTGCTGCATCAGGTATGATCCAGGCAACGGGAGGCAGAGTTGAACGTTGGAGATCTCCCTCACACGTCCCATGCACGATATCGGTTATCATTGACATTGACAGGACGAGGAATCAGAATAGCACGCTAGTCTTTAACATTATTTTAAAAACTATGTCCTTATATTTAATTTTCTTCTTTTTCATTTCATTCATTCATTTTTATCATTTGCCTCTTACCCTTAACGGCTTTCCATAATGGCTTTTCTTAGTCGGCAGCTCTCCCTTCTGTTATGAAAGTCATCGGGTGCGACTACAGGCATACTAAATCAAACTGTCTCGGAAACTGATACTCCGGAGATCCCTTTCCTCGATGGCGTCAGCGTCGATCTATCTCCATTATCCAGTCATCAGTCACCGTGTGACCAACAACAGCTGGTCCCCAATGTCGCCGACCCGGGTCCTTAGAGCTCGAGCAGGCCTGTCTGTCGCCCCCTCGGCCGCCGTTCTGTTCCGGTCGCGATCGAACCCGCCGTCACCGTCTCTGCCTACCCACGAGTAGCGCGGGGTCGCGTCGCCCGCGGTGCTCCATGACGGTTATGGCGATTCCTTGACACAAAGGGACTGTCGCTCAACACGGAAATCGATGGGAACCCGGTCCTTAGCCACTTGAGTTCGGTTCAGGGCGCAGAAGGAGAGACTTATGAAATGGATGTCATCGACACGGTCCCGACAGCTTGAGTGTGTGTTAAATGATAATCAAAATATGGATGCAGTAATGAATCCGTGGACTTATCTCTGACATTCACTTACCACATTGCTCTATTTTTACCTGTCTTAGGTTATCTCTCATTTTCATTATGCATTCTTTCATTTATGATTTTAGGGGCAAACAGCTTTATATTTTTGCATTGAATGGGCAAATTAACGCAATGAATCTTCGTCACGCAGAATTGAAAGTCAAAAGTATAACCTATGGCCATTAGATTTAATCGCTGTTTGGACACACCGACACTAAATTGAATGAAGGCTGCTTACCTCAGTTGAAACTCGAGCCAATCAATTATTAAATGCCACATACAAGTGCAAAATCATTTATGTTTGTTAGTGTACAATTATAGAATTTTATGCAGTGCTTGCAGTTGGCTATACCACATACACATTTCACATGACGCTTGTCTGTGAGTAACATCGTCGCCACCCCATATCAGTGCCAGTTGGTCGCTGTTTCTGCGGCCCATAACATGTCACCGAGAATTGATGGGCCCGCCGCACGGCACAATAACGGTGTCGCTGACGGCCCTGCGGCGCGTTAGTGCCAGCGTGCAGATTTATGACAATGCATGACCACAGTGCGGAAGACAGCCTGACCCCGGCACAGCGCTGCAATGCATGACATGAGCCTTATTACCAGATAAACTAGGCATTTAGGTTGGCCGTGATCGAATGCCAGTCTGTTACAAATATCATGTGAATGAATAACACGCATTATTGCTACATTATATACATACTACATATATAGGTATACGCAAGTGCAGTCCAATCCGAAGAACGCTTGGCAATAGGTACAGCTACTGATAAAACGAGTGTTTCGCAATTGTCTTGCAATAATGATAGAATACATCTGGTGGTCGTAAAAACGTTTAGATAGGTTTTACAAATTGTCCCAAGCCGTTTATAACAACTACTTGTCTTACAACAGTCATACAAACACAACCAATGCTGGTCAGATATTTCGCAATATACTGCAGCCTCTACCGGCTCCCGCGATGAAGCGGCCCACCGCCCTGCCTCCGACCGTCGCTGTCGACGTCTGACGATCACCCCCCCCCCCCCCCACCTCCGCTCCTACATATATCGTTACACACACTGCTCACCGGCCGATCCTCAGCTGGTGGTTCTGCACAGTCGCCTCCGCTCGGTGCTGCCCTGTCCCCCTCAGCCGGAGGCCTGTTACCGAGGACAGGCAATTACCGAGGATGCACTGCTGCGTGCGCTCGGCTGAGACAAATGCGACGCAGCAGCGCGCCGACCTGTCGACTGTAGCCGGACACGCACCGGGCAGTGTCCGGCTGCAGAAAAAAGTAATAATGATAATAATTGGACAGAGACATGTTTGTTATTTAGTTGCTCAATATCTGCTCATGTCACGAAAACCTCAATGTGTTCGTGTAACAAAGAAAGCTTTTTACAGTTATAAGATGTGCTGCCGAATATGGAGTAACAGGGTGTTAATTATTTGTTAATGACACAAATGATTTGACTACTTATGTAAATACCTACTTGCGCACATCATGCCTCTAATTGTCTATCGAGCTATGGCCGGATCAGATGACCATCGACTGTATGCCATTTGTGCGTGTTCATGCACGTGTACGTGCTAATTAAGTGTGCCTTTACGTTTACAATTAGCATCGGTGTCGGCACGCTCTTACCTATGAGTGTGTGACTTATTCACGAATTGTGAAATTCTGTTTCATTCGTCATCTTTTAGAAAAGGCAAAAAGGTGTTGCAAAACGAAGAAAGTGGTTCGAAATGCTTATGATTTCTTTTTTCCTCCGAATATCCACCCTTTTGTTTTTTTCGAGTTATTAGCAGTGTAGAACCACTACGAAAACTTTTTAGTTCACATTAACCCGCGCACCGACGGGGGTCTGCGCCAACTTAGTACCGACGGGGGGGGGGCGGATGACCGCCCCCCCCTGAGATCTCGAGAACGAAGCAAGATAGCGACAAGCGGTAAACGGCATCGGATACGCACGGACAAGGTCTACAATTTTTACAAAGGTCATTTTCAGGTCAGGTCAAAGATGACGTCACAGGGGTCGAAAAAGTCAAAATGGCGGCGCTAGATATGGAGAGGGTTTTTCTCGAATAACTTTCGAAGTAGTCAAGATAGGAACGCACTAAGGGCATCATCGTGATCCTCTCGTCAATCTGCATCGAATGATATATATGTTGACCTCGAAAGGTCAAGGTCAAAGGTTGACCTCAGGTCACGTGACCTCGAGGTCATCATGTATATCATTCGATGCGTCTTGACGAGCTGAACACAATGAGACCATCCGCGCGGCTGTATCTTGTTCCTGTAAGGAGTTATTGGCAAAAAACCTTTGGTGACCTTTGATGACGTCACATGACCTTACAGCTGCCCAACAGCAAAACAGACCTCAAGGTAGTGAAGGTTGATCGTATGTGAAGTCATGTATGGTATATGGGGCCATTCCGACCCGTTTTAGTGGTAAAAACAGGGAGTTGATTTTTCCCCCATTGACTTATAATGGGGAGGTCGCGAAATTGACCTGACCTTAGGTCACCGACATCAAAATTCCGAGATATACAAATTGTAGCTACTAATGACCTAATAACATCCTGCGACTTTCAAAGGCCTCCGACATCTACTGTAGCTCTGGCACGGTGACAAAGTTGCAAAAAAGTGACTTGAGGTTGGGTCATTCAAAGTGACCTGGTGACCTGACCTTAAAAGTTAGGAGGTTCAAACTTGCACACCATGTGTAAAATTGATGAGAGAATAGTCATACCAAATTTCGCGGCGCTACGCGCCGCGGTTTTCCCGCTATCCGCGAAAAACCTCAGGGGGGGGCGGATATCCGCCCCCCCCCGTCGGTGCGCGGGTTAAATGCAATATGGCTCAAGCTAAAATAATTCGTATTACACATTATTCTTTTAGCAGCTTGCTAGCTGGGCTCAAGGTCAATCTATCTCTTTATGATACTTGGAAAAGCAAACAAACCGCTACACCAAAAATCGTCCAATCCTACTTTCTGTGTAGTGACGTTTCTGGTCAGCGTTTCAGCGATATGGGCTGATGCTGCCTTGAGTGCTACATATTTACTCGGCTAGCGAGGGTGTTCAAAGGTCTGCTGTTGTTCTTGAAACAAGTAAATTGAACGGGCCTCTGATACGGTACCTACTCAGTAGGTAGGGGAGAGTGGGGCACATTCGTGCAAAAAATGGATAAACCCATATATCTGTTCTTTGGTTAGTGCAATGGCAAAATTGTTGATTGTAGTATGGAAAGGAACTATTGCAGATAGTTTTCCTCTTTAAAAGTTATCCTCTAAAATTATTGCTTCCATTAGAAAAAAATGACTTTTAATAGCTCTGAACATTTGCACGAAACCTCCCCACCTATGGGGCACATTCGTTCAAGAGGTGGGGCACTTCCGTTCACCCTGCAAAGTTCGAGAAATTACCGGGCATTACCAGAAATTTACCAAAGGAAATTGCCAGGGGGTCATTTCACTTGATTCCTTTCGACAAGAATGCATTGCACAACATATGTAGAAAGAATGGGCTGGCCAACAAGAATGTGCCAACTGCCGGCCTCCGTGACCTCGCCAAGTTCGCGTGAATTGCTCGTCACGACGTCGCAAGCAGTCGAGACTGAGTCAGGCGAACGTCATTAGAGAAACCTACTACAGATAAAGTCATAAATCGCAAAAACTAAAAAAAAAATATGCACGAATGTGCCCCCAGGCAGTGCGTACACGAACCTGCCCCACAACGTTATTAGTAATATATTTCAAAATTTCTTTTTGAAAAAATGACACTTTTTCAACAAACAAGTTTGCAGCAGTTCCGTGAATAGAGTGAGCTTCTTCACCCCCAATTTTGAAAAGCTGAACCACATTTCCGAGTCAGGATCACGAAAATGGATGATATGAGAAAAGTTTGGAAAGCTCACGAATGTTACAAATTTGCGTTTTTATCAAGCATGACAGCAGGTACAGTGTTGTCTTCTACGGTGAACGAAGGGCGGCAATGATAGACATATTTCCATAATTTACCTTGAGCTCGTGCAGTCACTGGTGTTCCCATAAACTGCTGAAAACGAATGTGCCCCATGCACGAATGTGCCCCACTCTCCCCTACTTATGTCAATGCCATCAGTCGGAAAAGATTGTCCATACTTGACGCCTTTAACTGATACCATGCCGTGGCCCCTCGGACTTGTCCTGTGAGGCATTTTCAAATGGATCATTTCGCATTCTCTTCGAATTTTGTGTTTTTGATGAGCTCGACGTATAAGCTAATTGAGCGTAACCTCCCGTGGCCACTGGACTCCACTAAGATCTTCGGAAGCAGAAGTCGTCCTCCCGGACGACTACCGCTGTGACATCCCAAGACAGTCCTTCTGTGACCATTTTTACTGGTCCTTCGTGGGTCCTGAGATGTCATCGTCCACGGTCGTGGCTGCTCGGACGGCTCCTGTCGCTCCCTTTTGTAAGGGCGTTACCGTTGGCCGTCCGACTTTCCATGATTGTGGCTGCTGGGACGTATTCTGCCAGGCTGTTCGGCCGGCACCACTCTCCGTAGCCGCCGCTCTCCGTGCCCAATGCTCATTAGTGCTCAGAGACGGCGGCGCAGCGGCGACAATATTGCACTTTTCTCCTAGACGGCGGCGCCCGGGACCATCCATAGGGCGGCACAGCCGCCAAAGGAGGCTCATTAGACGCGCTAGGACAGTGCTGGTCGATATCGGCGAATTACCGGTGCGCTCTAGTGACCAGCGTAGATCCTGGAGCGAGACAGCGGGCCGGGCGCTTCCTGGAAGGACCGTACGGCGGCCTGATGAAAACGGTCTAAAGCCTGTGTAAGACGGGCAACTGTATCCAGCAAATCCCGGCCACTGGTTGCCTGGCAACTCATGGAAACCAATCGGTCAGCGACTGGTAACAGCACGGTGGCTGCCATGAGCAACAGCCGTCAGTTCGCGTTGTCGGGAACAAAGGCGGACCTTCATTTGTTCACCTTTGGTGCTGTTATTGCCGACTCAAGAATGTTTCCACCCTTAGAAGCAAAAAATAATAGTAACAATAATAAAATCACAGTGAATTAGATGAGTTTTGTGGAAGACTAGGCGCTATATGTTCAAAGCAGAGCGGTATGCACGAGAAGCCAGCATTTTAGTTAGCGGATACCTGATATCCCTCTTATTTTTCCATTTTTATGAAATGACTGGTTTCCTTTTCCACCTTCTCAAAGTGCAGTTATTTCCTTGCGAGCCATGCAAATGGGCGCCTATGCCCACCACTTCTATATATTACTATTCTTCGAGGACAGTGAAAAGACCTGTCCTTTGCCTTTCGTGGCACTGCTACTTCAGCAGAAGTTCCGGATGCTCATAATTTGACCAACATTTTCGCATGGAGTCACATCAAGTACGCAAACGCATGGCGCCTTTGCTAACGTCCTTGGCTCCCAGTCATTGATAGCCGTTGCTCTTCACATCAAATGCTATCTACTTCACGTCCATCATCAACGCCTCCTGCGTTTCTTCATATTCACAGATCCCGCGCTACATCGTCACGCTGCACGAGCTGCTGTCGCACACGCCACAGAACCACGTGGAGCGCCGCTCTTTGGACGAGGCGCGTCGACAGCTGGAGCAGCTCAGCAGGCAGATGCAGGACGAGGTAGGCTGACGTCGAGGTAACGGGGTCCGCTGGGCGAGGTAGGCTTGTCGCTGAGGCCCGTCATACGAGGTATAACTCACCAAGGTCCGTTGTTGAACGAGATCTGAGTCACCAAGGTCCGTTGGACAAGGGCTGAGCCACGAAGGCTGAACGAGCTCTGAGTCACTAAGGTTCGCTGGACGATGTCTGGGCCACGAAGACGACGTCGGAATTACCCAGATCCGCTAAAAGAGTAAGCACATACTGAGCCACTGAGGCCCCGCTAAAAGATGGAGGTGCATACGGAGCAACCAATGTCTGCAGGGCTGGACTGTATCCTGTGTCCTCGACTGTATCCTCGACTGGACTGTATCCGTACCAACATCATTTTGCCAACCGATGGTAAGTACGAAGCACGAACATACTTATGTCCCGAAGACTAGGTAGATGTTAGGGCTGACTCCGCTGAAACGACTAACGATGAGGACTTCTATATACAGATGTTCATCCCTACCATGTTGCACCAGGAGCGTGTGAGAGAGAGAGAGAGAGAGAGAGAGAGAGAGAGGGAGAGAGAGAGAGAGAGAGAGAGAGAGAGAGAGAGAGAGAGAGAGAGAGAGAGAGAGAGAGAGAGAGAGAGAGAGAGAGAGAGAGAGAGAAGATGTTAATGTGCTGCATATCAATCTCACAAAGCGACTCAGTAGATACCTGAAATTCATTATCCTAGCAATATGCAAAGCTTTGAAGTTCTGTCATCTGTACCATTTTCATCAGATCAACTTCAAACATATTTTACATTACTCCGCGGCGTTGGTACTTCCCTGCACTTCTCTGAACATACGGGAAAATACCTGTCTCTGTACTGGATATGTTCTGAGGAGCCCATCTCTGTTCTGAGTCTGTGTCACCGTTTCTTTGATGCCGCTGACAGCGCACGTCCCGGCGGGGTCTGTCAGCAGGTCAGCGAGGCGGAGAGCATGCTGCGCCGGCTGGCGGTGGAGCGGCTGATGTCGCACGGCTGCGGGCTGCTGCACGAGCTCGCCCAGTCGGCCCAGGCCGCCCAGCCGGCTGCGCGCACCCAGCGGTCCCGCTCTATATCCGACTCGGGCGCCGGCTCCGTCACCCTGTCGCCGTCACCGTCCATTACCAACCAGTCGCGCTCGCTCTCCTGCTTCCACCTGGAAACACGCAAGGTGTGCTCATCGTTCCCGCGCGTCTCCATCGACTTCCCGCGCGACAAGAAGGAGTTGTTCCTCTCGGAGGACAGCGACGATCCGTGGAACAAGGCGGCTGGCGCGCGCCGCGAGCGCAGCCACAGCACGGTCAGCTGCCAGCCTTCGCAGGAGATCGCTGCCGCCCTGCAGCGACACAGACACTCGTGCCAGATCTTCGGCAGGGGCGACGACGAGGACATCCAGCGCATCAAGAGTCTGCGCAAGTGTTCGGTGGGCCCCTACCTGGCCGTGCCCTCTGTGATGATCAGTGACGCCGCCGTGCCGCCGGGGCCCTCCTCGTCGCCCAGTCTGCGCTCCAGCATTTCGTCGCAGCCGCGAACCCCGCGCGGACGGCGCTCCATCACGTTTCTGGACGCGGTGGCGTCGCAGCCGCTCTGAGACGACGGGAAGCGACGCGAGCCGAACTCTCGTCAATTATTGATGCACGGCTTCGCGGTGAGGCGATATAAATGCTCAGACACGTGGCGTGTGGTGGTTTTGGCAGCTGGTGAACTGCGCTTTAGGACCGTGCTTCGTTTTGTGGAAGCCGAGAAGACTGAACTGAAAGAGGAACTCTTTTTTAAACCGAAAAGACCTATTGAGGTAACTGCTCGCTGGCTGACGTGCGCACAAAGCGCATCGTATAATGCAAACAGACGAACAGTTGAAATAAGTAATAGGCATTGTTAAAAGCCGCCGTCAGCGGGGACTATTTACCATTAAAATGTCAGTCGCAGTGGCTTATGGGCAATGATATGGCTTCCTGACGCTCGTACTGACGTCAAATTGTTTCAAACTGTGTTGGTAAATTTCGAGCAGCCGTTGGAAAGGCTGTGTTATGAGTCATTTTCACATCTTGCCAATTGTCGGCGGAAATTTCGAGTGGTGACGACAGGTTATAGGTCAGCGAACGTTCTCATCATCGACGTCGAGCTTCGTGTCAGTCGAGTGCTTATGAACATTGTCGTCGAATGACAGGCTTTGTGGATCGTTACCGGCTTTGTGTCAACAGCAGGTCGCCGTGCTCGGCGCAGCTGTAAAGCCATTGGCCATCGATCCAGCCGATATGAACGGCAGTTCACAATGACCATACCGGCCGACCACATAGTTGCTCAGAACAGAATGTGGTCGTTAAAGGGACCCTCCCACCTTAACATTAGTTTTGAGTTGAGATAGCCAAGTTTGCGGCCAGGCTCAGAAACCACCATTTATCCTGGTCGCAACCCCCGCAGCTTTATGGTGTTCAAGAAATTTCTTCCCTTTACTTGCAGGGTGGGACCAGCGTGGTCCCTATCTCTTAACCATTACGGGAATCTGATGACGTCATCAGGCTTTCGAACGTCCGTTAAATGTTTGACTAAAACGTTTTGTAGCACGCGGTGGTATATGCTGCTTTGCGCGCAACAAATGCCGCACTTTCAAATAAAGTCGCTAGGAACAGCGGAGATCCCAAAAAGTAAACAAAAGTAAAAGTCTAAGTAAAAGTCTAAGTAATCTTGAAAACCGGTGAATATTTTTCGATGAAATTTGGTAGATATTCGTTTTTGCTCTTTCTGAACCGAGCGACATCACTTTCATGCCAATTCATTAACTTTTTTGAAGGTGGGAGGGTCCCTTTAACAGGGGCTACAGAAGCTGTCAACGTTTCTTGTCATTGACTTTATTACCAACGGAGAAAAAAGCTAACGTAAATGTTCAATTAGACGTCTTAGCAGTGTCATGGTGATTCGCCAATGCCATTGGGCTAATACGCCGAAGCTTTTATAAGTGTATTTTTCTTTGTTGATTGTCCATTCCAACTACGCCAGCGGTTTCCGCAGGAGCCTACGGCTGTTGGTTTGTAGCCAAGTGGAGAATGCTCATAGGTCTGGCGACGTGTGCCATGTTGTCGGTGAGCTGTGTATGTGTAATGTTTTTTACGTGTGCAGGAAGCGCCAGATACCGGAAAGGCCTTGCTAGGCCCGGTGAACTGGCTTAACGCCGCCGTTTTCTTCCAGCTGGGCCGCGACTACGTGAATTTGGTGTGTCTGCTTCCGCTGGTGAATGTTTATAGTAATGTGGCCGGCTCATTCGTGCAGCTTGTCAATAGTATGTTAGAATGGCGCTTTTCTGTTCCTTCCTGCGAACGATAACAACGCTTCCAAAGGTAACAGACTGTCGACATGATGACGCCTTCGGCGGATGACACTTGCAAGTTCACTGAGGGAAAGATGACCCTCTGAAGTGTCATGGACCAAGGAAGAGTTGTCTAAAATTTGATTTTCCAGAATTCCTTGGGAATCCCTTTTTGAATCCCTTCCGGGATCCCTTCAACGAGTTACACCAAAACTCTGTCAGAAGGATACTATAACTCTTTACGAACTCCTTCATCTCAGCCGAACTCTTCTTAGACTCTTCTTTAGCAATCATGGTAAACCATCCTTAGACTCTTTCAAGACTCGTAAAACATTGCTCTCGTAGAACCCTTTCAGCATTTACCCACTGAGAATTCCGCGCCTCTGAAACGCTGAACTAACGTGCAACCTGAGCTTATTGCTTAGAAACAACATCTTAGAAAGAACATATCAGACCAGAGACGACATCAGAAACGACATGTGAGCGCCTTAATGGAAACTGATAATGGAAGAGGATTTTGTGTCATGGTACACATTAGACAATCCCTTTCCATTATGCCTGTCACCCAACAGCTGTTTTTTATTCACCACATTTTATAAGGCAAAAGGGCAAAAGTGCACTTTGATAGGGTAACAGCGAGAGCGAAAAAGACGGCGCCAATGCATGCGCTGGCCACTGCACTGGCCCGAGACTAGGCGCAAGGCGCAGGACGGCAGGAGCGTGCCGTTGGTAAGGAGGACCCAATGGACATCTGGGATGAGGAGGGTGAAGTGAGTAGGATGCTCAGATGCTGCAAGTGGCCAAGAAAGTGATGGTCGCCAGTAGGCAGAAGGCGCCAGTCAAGGGTTAGGGGTCTGATGAACAGAAGGTTGTAAGTGCGGTATCTGGCCTGAAAGTACCAGTTGCAGTGACCGTAAGGACGGCACCATGAACCAGTAGATCGCAGATGGTCATGAGGGCACCTGGAACCAATGTGGCACCAGCTTGATGCCAGTAACCTTTTAATCGCTTATACAATTGTATTTTAATTTCATTGTAATTAAATTTTATAGTTACAATTAATAACGCCCAAATTTTAAGAAGCTTTTGAGTTCAGTGATAACGTCTCATGTATTTGAACTTTGGTTTAGACAATGGTAGCCAAGCCACCACTGTAATTATATGGCCATATGTGATAAATATTTTATTTTTACCCATCCTGGTGACAACGAAACCGTCAAGCCACGAACTCGTTCTCGTTTATTCATTCACTTCTTGTCCGCACCCCGATATCCTGTCCGCAGGTTTGCCGTGCCCGTAGGGAAACTTCATGTGTGTCATCTGTCCCATCTCAAGTCCGCAGCCTGTCCTCTCGCGACATCCTCCAGTCCTCCCCATCCAATGATGTCATTGATCTACAGGTGATGTCTTTGATCTACTACCGATGACGTCACTGATCTACTACTGGTGACGTCACTGGTGCGGATCTGTCCGTCTGCGTGTCCGCCAGTTTGAGTTGTGATCCTCCCCGCGGGACATCGTCGCCGCCGCCGCGTGGCTGTCCAGAGCCGGCCTCGTGTCTGTTGTGCCGACCGGCCGGGTCGTTACCGGTCACGGTCTATATCGGTCGGTCCGCCGCGCCGGTGGGCCCTGTCCTGAGGCACGTCTCATGTCGCCGGCGCCATGGCGGCCACGCGGTCAGACTGGTGCGTCTGGGGACGAAGGAGGTGCGCCCACATCGACCGAGAAAGGCGGCCGAGCGCCGCGGCCGGGTGCCGTATTGATCTGTCTCTCTCTCTGCCGGCTACCTGTTGCACGCGCCGGCGGCAGGCCGGCGCCGCTCGACAGACTGCCGACGCCACCTGTAGAGCCACTGGCGGTCACGTGATACCACCTGTGGAGTGGCGGGCTAACATGTCGATCGGTCACGTGACACAAACGGTGCTTAGCTGAGATCAAGGTTGAGGTCACATGATAATCGATGTCTCGCTTGAGCCAAAACAATACTGAATCAGAACTTGTGATGATAAATCGACCCTATTTGTTCGATATCCGCTCTAGGGATACAAAATGTTCAGTTACTGCCCAATGACGTCAACAATGTAATTAATTATTACATAATTTTATAGGGCAATTAGCACTTAAACCCTAACAACATTGAAACCTTCCAGATGTCAGCTTAACACTCACCAGTCAATGCAAGGTCTGCAAGCATGGCGATCTGTTTCCCTTTGGCGGGGCACAGGAGGTCGAAACAAATGGAACGCCATGTTGCCGTGTATTTGCCGCGACCTTAGGACGGCGCCGGTGCGGCTCGCATTAGCCGCCGAGCGACGGGAAACCGAGCGAGGTGTGGCAATAAACTGCCCCAGAGACTGGTCGATGAAGACGCTCGGGGAACACGGAGACAAAGCCGACAAAGGTCCAGTCGCTGTCTGTCGGGCGATAGCTGCAGGCAGCAGCTCGGTCGGACGGTGTCGTGGGAGTGAAACAGAAACAGACGGCCATTCTGACACAATAAATGCTGACTAGAATAGCTTGAATAACCTGAGGGAAATTGTTTAGTGAGGTCTTGGCAAACAAAACATTGTCGATCTCGGATCACGATTGTGTCTCCAAATGCCGAAAGAGATACCTACCTGCCTGTCTACTTGAGCATTTACCTACTTGGCATCCTTAAAAATCAGCGCAGTTTTTATGGTTTTGCCAAGAGCTGAAAAGCATAAATTTCATCAATAGGTAATGCATGACAAATACTCACATCAGCGACACGAATTTAAAAGTAATGCTCTCCATCATATCTTGCCAATCCCGTTCTACCTTCCGCTTGCTACAGTATAGGAAGCTGTTTACTGAATAAATCGACTGTCGACCCGCAGCTTCACCTATTTTTGAACCAATGGACGCTTCCTCGTCTGTTTGGGGACGGCGCAATTCATTTTGATATGCATTTATAGATTTGCGACAATGTTTCAACTTTTAAGGTAAATATAGCCGATCGGACGCGACGCTAGCATCTAATTTGCCTCGATGCGGCTTCATCTCGGATGCCTGGGTGTCTGTCTTTGGGATATTTTTTGCCTCCTTTTTTCCCCTTTTTAGTGCGTGTGAGTAACTTTATGGAAGAACAGTCCCAGTCGCCCAAGGTAGGTAAAACTTCACGTGCTTGATGTCATTCTTAACTGCACAAATAGGATATCTTTGATTTTATCAACCTTCAAGTGAACCAGATACCTATACTGTTAAAAAGAGATACTGATAACGTTTGGTGAGCGCCATTATCATTGGGTTGATTTTATCGCTAAAAACAAGGTTTCATGCGATTTCTTGTATAAATAGTTAGCTGTCATAAAAACAGTGGTAGCAGTGCACTGATTCACTGATCAGTTGTCACTTGGATCTGAGATACTTCGATAAAGACTAGACTATTGTTCACCAAAAGCAGTGCGAATGGAGTGCAGAGTGCTAGACGTTTAGCGCAAGTGCTGTGCTGCACCGCACGCTTTGTCAGATAGCTATGCCGCTACATAAAAACTCTCAAGAGACCCCGGCACCTGTTTTCTAAGACGCCCATGCCATTTTACATGCCAAAATGCTTTATATTCCAGACGTGGCTGCGATGGATTGCTACTGCTTGGGTAAATAGATGACGAAAACACTGACAACAGTGAAAATGTTGCGATGGAGTGATATTTCAAGTAAGACAGCCTTGCCTGCAAATGCTGAATTATTGTTTGTTTTTTGAAACAGGATTTCGTCTGCTCTGCCCTGGTCCCTGGAACTGGATCTTCACGGGACAGCGGGAAAGGTACGCGACCATGGCGCCATCTGTCCCGGACGTAACGTTCACCATAGGGTCTGTTCCAGTCGCACTTCCTATAACACCTCTAAACTCCTCCAAGAGCAAGATAGAGGAGGTTGGAGCAAGGCCATCCTTGGCTTTGTAGGGGCTAGAGCTGCCACTGGAACAGGGAAGCAATCTTGGAGGAGTTTAGAGGTGTTAGGAAGTGCGACTGGAACAGACCCAAAGACAAGCA